CCCCTATCCTCGGGTCCGAGTTTGTAGAGAGAGGGATCAAGAAGGACTTAGTCAAAACAGCAAGAGTACCTTGAACGTCGCGCAGCGTGCCGTGCAGACCGTCGGTCGGATTAAGCTGAGAATTCGCTATATCGAAGCTCGCTCCAAGAGCTTTAAAATGAGCCAAGTTGCCTCGCGAAAAGTTCTGCCATTACTAAGTTATGGCTCGGACAGCGTTTGCCTAGCGTTGGAGTGCTAGCATACTAGCGTTGACTCGGATAGCATTCCGCCGTCGAATAGCGCAGAAACGAAATTCCAGCGAGGAAGGAATTCGCTTGAATCAATTTGACTATATTCAGGTACAAACAGAGAAGGATTAAATACTTCTAGCTAGCAAGGACCTTGGGAATCAACCTGGGAACAACCAGGGATGATCCCAAATAATTCCAAGCAACAGAACCAACCTGGCTGGACAAAATAGCAGGTGGTAGGTTGGTAAACAACCTCTGGTTCTGTTTTTCCAACCTGGGAAAACAACAACCAGGTTCAGGTTCTAAAAACAGAACCTGTTTTGTCTTTGCCCAACCAGCCAAATGCTGGTTCCGCTGGTTTCCCCTGGCCTTGTAGCATGCAGATACAGACAAACAACATCCAACCTTCACCTAAATTGTACCCCTATAGTGCCTTCCCTGCTACACTATAGTTAACCAAACAAAACAGTACAATTCCGAGTTGGATAGAACTGAATCTGCGCAATCAACTCAACCGAACTGCAAAGCTTCCATCTTGGGTTCCTTTGCGAGCTCGTCCTTCCTGCTTGCACTGTTCATAGCGCATACAATGTTGTGCCAAAGCGCACATTGCGCGAGTACCTGCAAATGCATCAAGCAAAAATTGCGAAAGCAAACAAACACACGAACATTCCATTCACACCCAAATGCATTCGCACACGCATACTCGTACAAACAGACGGCAGGATGTCGTGCAATGTAAATTTGCACCCAACAGTTCGGTGCGGAAGTGTAGGCCGAACCCAAACTGACGCGAACTATTCGGGCTGTCCTCACTAGGAGCAGCCCCTACAATAGTATTCTCTCTTAGGGAGTTTTTGGCGCTAATACGAATATGTTTTTTCGTGTTTTCCGAGACGACGCATCACGTTACCCTTCGGGGGGGAGGGGGGGGACAGGGAAGGATGCCGTGGTGACAGGAGCAGCGCAGTAGCCGGCCAGGAGAACGGGTAGTTGCTCCTAGCGGCCATGAGTTTTACGGGCGCTCCTGCGGCACGAACGGATCCTTGCCTTCGACGGTCGAGATGGACCGTGACCTCCCTCCCCCCGGGTGGTGGACAGCTGTGGCTATCGCATATTAAATACGTTTGTTATTTTCGTCGGTTCTGTTAATCTCGGCACTGTTTTTTATGCGGCAGTTGGCGTCAGGCAGGTTGTTGTCACTGCATGTGCGAGATTTTCGGAGCAACTGTTGTGCGAGTTGGCACTCGTCACGTGGTCGCCAACTGCGCGCGACAAAGTCGGAGTCAATGCGTGCGACAAGCGGCGCCAGGCGTTTTCGTCACGTTGCGCACGAGTTTCTCGGAGGTCTTCGGCAGGGCCTCAGATTCGTTTTGGCCTAGGCTGAAAAAACAGAGTTGGTACAAAACGTTTTGCTGAAAATCTGACAAATCAGCCATTTTATGCTATTTTACACTACAAATTGAAGGAGATTTCCTAAATCAACCTTTTTTCGCTGACTTCCGAGGCCCTGGTCTTCAGCACGTTGTGAGCGTCATCACAGTGCGCGAAGATTTCAAGTGGCTTCACGTATAAAACGACAGCTGGCCGGGCAGGCCAGGCGCATGGTGATTTGCGTCGGAAAATGCAACGGCGAGGAGAGATGGTGTGGCGACTGCCCGAATAAAGTGGGGGTCTACCGCCGTCCAACCCGGGTGCGGCCGGTGTGGCTGCAGGAGGGTGCGTCGTTGGCGTTTTCGGCAGGAGCGGCACAGTGTGGGACGGAAGTTGTTTTTCGAACCACCAAAAAGATCAGAAAAATCCGCCTACGACTAGACTGTCTATCGCCAGGGTCACTGCTATACCTGCAACAAGATCGGCAAAATTTTCGGAGCAACAGCAACAGCCGACCATGTAATTAAGGCGGCACAGCACCTCCTAATCAAGGGTAGTTGCACCGCAGATAGGGCAGTACACCGGCGGGACAACGATTCGGCTCAGTGTTTAAACCCGGCTTCAATATACGAAGTTGCGTCGCGCTCGGATCCAGCGAGAGAAACAGGTTTTGAGTTTCAGAAGGCGGGAATTACGACCCACGGGGAGCCGCTCAAGCTGATGCCTAAACGTCTGCGGCAAAGCGGCTATAGCCGGATGGGTACCACTACTGACCGAGGTTTCCGAATGTTTCACACACCTCACACCACAAGGCTTTGAAGGCAAAATGTAAGACCTATTGGCCACTGGAATAAAAAGGTGGGGCCCTGTGTTTAGCCCTATGCTGGCTAAAAAACGCCGGTATTGCGCAAGTTCGACAGCTGGGTGTACAAGAAAATTTCGAGGATGTGACACTGTTTCGGCCCCGACAACACCGGATCATCGGTGCTGAACCCGACAACATCGGAGCTGAACAGAATCGGTGCAGCTGTCGGAGTTTCTCCTAATTCAACGGTCTACGTAACAGAGGTGTAGCGGCAAATAAGGGGTAATGAAGCTATGGAGTTTTTGTGAGAATTAGAACGAGAATGAATGCATTGAGCAGCATAAGAAGTACAAGTACCAAACCCTAAAAGGGTTGTACCCCATATTGGCTACCCCACTACAGCCTACACAGACTATAGTGTATGAGTTTAACACACCCCCATAGGCAAAGTGGGGAAGAACAAGGGGTCACAAGACCAGTCAGGGCAAAGCAAGGCAAAGCAAGCTCAGGGTGGATCACAAAGTCACCACACAGTCTGAGCACAAGTTCAAGGCCACAAGGCCAGTTCACATGCAAGATTACATATATATAACGCTAAACAAGCAAGGGCAGGTATATATATGTAACAGTACAAGCAAGGTCAAGAAGTAAGCAAGTGAGGCAAGGTAGGCACAAGACCTAACAGAGTGCAGAAGCGCTGATGATCACAAGGCGCGAGTGCCTTAGTGAAGATATCAGCAGTGTTGGCCTCAGAGGCCACGTAAGCAAGGCGCAGCTGACCATGCTGCTGCAGCTCACGAGCAAGGAAGTAGCGAAGAGCGATGTGCTTTGTTCTGTGCTCCAGTCTGTGCTCCCGACACAAGGCCAGCATGGCCTTGTTGTCTACGTACAGCACTGGAGGAGAATGAGGCGGCTCTCCCAGGTCAGTCAGCAGGTAGGTGAGCCAGCGTAGCTCCTGTGCAGCCATGGCCCCTGCGTAGATCTCAGCCTCACAACTGGAGCCGAGAACAGAAGACGAGCGGGTAGACCGCCACGAAACAGAGCCGGAACCAAGGCTGAAGGTGTAACCCTGTGACGACCGCTGCGTAGCCTGGTCGTCGGCCCAAGAAGCGTCTGCGTGACCAGTGAGGACCACTGGACTCTGCCCTCCAAGCACAAGCCCCATGCCCGACGTACTGCACAAGTAGCGCAACACCCTCTTCGCTGCAGCCATGTGCTCTGGTCTGTGTCTCCCAGGAGCAACATAGCGTGCCAGAATGCTAAGAGGGTATGCAAGGTCAGGTCGAGTGCAGGTCATCGGGTACATGAGGCAGCCAACAAGCTCTGGGTACGGGCCACTCGACTCTACGGACTCATCCGAAGGCAGAGCTGACGACAGTAGCAAGGAGACGCGTGACAGTAGGACTCGCAGCACGAAGGGAGTCCGACTCCGGGTCAGCAAGTGCAGGAAGAGAGGACGCGGGAGGAGAAGGCAAAGGGGCACGCAGTGGAGCAGTGGAAGGACGCAGAGACATCCGGTGCGTGCCGGGGACAGGGGGAGGACGCTGACGCGAACCACGACCACTAGGCGACGCAGGGCGAGACGCAGGCTCACGACGCTCAGCAAGACCTCCAGTAGGACCAGTGTAGGGAGAAGGAGAAGGAAGCGGGGAGGCTGGCTGTAACTGTGACTCAGACTGGACAGGAGGCGGACACGCTAAGGGAGGAGCAGGACCAAGAGAGGACGGAAGGCCAAGAACCTGCTCAAGGAGCGGAACGAAGTACGGCCGGGGCCGCGCAGCGCCACCAGTGCCAGCAGGAACAGCACCAGTGTTGGTGTAAGGGCCTAATAAACTCAGGCTATTAAGACTTAATCAAACTTAAAACCTCTCCTCGGGGTCACCTCCAAGGGTCCCTGGGTGCCTGGTACAAGACCAGCCCCTATCCTCGGGTCCGAGTTTGTAAAGAGAGGAGTTAAGAATAACTAAGTTAGCCAAAATAACAAGAGTACCTTGAACATCGCGCAGCGTGCCGTGCAGCTCATCGATCGGATTAAGCTGAGAAGTCGCTATAACGAAGCTCGCTCCAAGAGCTTTAAAATAAGCCAAGTTGCCTCGCGAAAAGTTCTGCCATTACTAAGTTCTGGCTCGGACAGCGTTTGCCTAGCGTTGGAGTGCTAGCATACTAGCGTTGACTCGGGTAGCATTCCGCCATCGAATAGCGCAGAAACGAAATTCCAGCGAGGAAGGAATTCGCTTGAATCAATTGACTATATTCAGGTACAAACAGAGAAGGATTAAATAGTTCTAGCTAGCAAAGACCTTGGGAATCAACCTGGGAACAACCAGGGATGATCCCAAATAATTCCAAGCAGCAGAACCAACCTGGCTGAACAAAATAGCAGGTGGTAGGTTGGTAAACAACCTCTGGTTCTGTTTTTCCAACCTGGGAAAACAACAACCAGGTTCAGGTTCTAAAAACAGAACCTGTTTTGTCTTTGCCCAACCAGCCAAATGCTGGTTCCGCTGGTTTCCCCTGGCCTCGTAGCATGCAGATACAGACAAACAACATCCAACCTTCACCCAAATTGTACCCCTATAGTGCCTGCCCTGCTACACTATAGTCAACCAAACAAAACAGTACAATTTCGAGTTGGATAGAACTGGATCTGCGCAACCAATTTAACCAAACCGCAAAGCTTCCATCCTGGGTTCCTTTGCAAGCTCGTCCTTTCTGCTTGCACTGTTTATAGCGCGTACAATGTTGTGCCGAAGCGCACATTGCGCGAGTACCTGCAAATGCATCAAGCGAAAATTGCGAAAGCAAACAAACATACGAACATTCCATTCACACCCAAATGCATTCGCACATGCATACTCGTACAAACAGACGGCAGGATGTCGTGCAATGTGCATTTGCACCCAACAACCATCACCCCCAACGGGAGCACCAGCACCAGGCATACCCTCAGCTCCAGCAGCTCCAACTCCAGCACCCTCAGCAGCACCAGCGCCAGTAGCACCTCCAGCGCCAACACCCCCAGTAGCTCCAGCTCCAGTCGGACCACCCGAAGACGCAGCAGCTCCAGCTCCAGGAGCACCAGCAGCACCAACGCCAGTAGCACCAGTAGCACCACCAGCACCAGCAAGAGGAGCACCCGTAGGCCCAGCAGCTCCAGTACACCCTGTACGAGCACCTCTGGGACCCTCTGCACCAGCACCCTCAGCAGCAGCAGAACCTCCAGCGTCCGCAGCACCACCAGCTCCAGCAGCACGCCGCCAGCGCCGGGCGAACCACTCACGCAGCTCCTGTGGAGAGAGTAGCTCCCGCCGGGACGAAGCACCCGAAGAACCGCCAGGCCCAGCACCCTCAGGCTCCGCACTCCGAGACACAGCACCCCCAGGCTCAGCACTCCCAGGCGCAGCACCCCCAGGCTCAGCACCCCCAGACGTAGCACCCCCAGGCTCAGCACCCCCAGACGTAGCACCCCCAGGCTCAGCACCCCCAGGCGCAGCACCCCCAGGCTCAGCACCCCCAGGCGCAGCACCCCCAGACCCAGCACCCCCAGGCTCAGCACCCCCAGCAGTACCAGAGTCAACAGCTACCTCGACAGGCTCGACTGCATCTACCTGGGACACACCTGAGGGAGCAGGACCCTGAGGGGGGAGGGGGTCTACCGGAGGGGGACCTGGCGTAAGGAAGAGCGGCGGGGGAGGGAGGGACGCAGTGCGGTAGGGGAAGAGACGGTAGTAGGGAACCGACTCGTCAAAGGTGACGTCCTGGGAGGACAGAACACGACGCGAGGTGGGGTGGTAGAACTGCCAGCCTGGCGCGTCAGGAGGGAAGCCAAGGAAGACGCAGGGAACAGCACGAGAGGACAGCTTGTCCGCAGACAAGTCGCGGACAAACGCCCGAGATCCCCAGACACGGAACGCAGACGCATCGCCAACCTTCCCCGTCCACAGTAAAGCAGGGGAGGTCTCCGGCCTGGAGACCCGGGGGTGAAGGTTGATCTGATGCGCCGCGTACCGAACCGCAAACGGCCACAAAAAATGGGGGCAGCCGCATGGACAATGGACAAACGAGCGACGTCCATGATCATGCCAATGCGGCGCTCAGCAATCCCATTTTGCTGTGGAGAGTCCGGAAGCGTGAAGGTCTGGCGGATGCCTCGTGCACGACAGAAGGCCCGCAGAAGGTCAGAGGAGAACTCTCCGCCTCTGTCGGAGTGCAGACGCAGAACAGGAAAGTCAGAGCCGAAACTCTCCCGGAGCTGGAGACGAGCTGCGCGGATCCAGGCGATCAACACCTCAGTGACGTCACCCTTGCTGCGCAAGGGGAAGACTGTGGTGTAACGCGAGTAGTCGTCAACCACCAGCAGGAAGTAACGCTCGAGACCCTGTCCACGGACGCGGGCAGGGCCCCACACGTCCATGTGAAGCGTCTGCAGCGGAGCCTCTGTCGGAGGAAACTCGGAGGAGTGAGGGGCAGCGCGCTGCCGCCCCTCGACGCAGGGAACGCAGGTGGGGGCAGGCCCCGGAGGAAGGGGAGGGAGGGACCGGGGGAGGCCAGAGACAAGAAGACGGGAAGCCATGCCTCGAAGACGAGGCAGGGAGGGGTGACCAAGACGGTGGTGCCAGAGGAGAGTCCGGTGGGACAGGAGACGACACGAGCAGGGGGCAGACTCAGGACCAGACCTGGACGCCGCAGCAAACACCTGACCCGACGCTGCTACCTGAGCAGACTCAGTGACTGGAGGAGACTCAGTAGTCAGTGTGTACAGGCTCGACCCCGGCCGACGGGTAAACGTGGCCAAGTGTCGGCCCGTGTCTGCACACGTGCAGTGAGTCACCCGCTGACGAGCAGGGGTGAACTGGTCAACTCCCCCATCCTGTAGGTCAGCACCCGCCACCAAGTTCGTAGAGAACGAGGGGAGGTAAAGACCCGACAGGGAGCCAGACGGGACCGCTGGACACGGTAGGACAGTGGAGTAGTGGGCAAGGACAGGACCCCCAGAGGGGTCTGCCAGGGAGACTGCAACGGGCCGACTGAGTGGCGTGAGAGTGGTGCAGTCTCGAAAGAAGGAGCGGGAAGCACCCGAGTCAAGGGTGAAGGTGTGGGTGTCCGGAGACGACGCAGTACCTGAGAGCGCAGACTCACCGGCACCTGGGGCGGCAGACGCACTGGCACCTAGAGCAGCAGCCTCACAAGCACCTAGCGCAGCAGCCTCTATGCCTGGGTCAGGCGGAAAACACCGGTAACAGTCACCCTCATCACTAATAGTCACAGCATACATGGCAGCAAGAATAGCATCATAATCAAGATCAAAGATCGCAACACCATCCCTAGACAGCTCGCCCCAGCGAGGGATCTCAGTAGCGTCGGGGAACTGGTGACGCCACGCGTCCGTCAGACGGCCAAAGCAACGCTGGGTGGAGTGCGCACCCCCACACTGCTCACCCGCGGGGTCGCCGGTGCGGAAGACGTAGGTGCACGGACCAGTACCCCCACCCCGCTGACGTGCAGCGTACCACTCACGAAGCTGCTGAGGGGGGGGATCTCACGAGCGCGCTGCTGCTGCTGCTGGCGCTGACCACCACCGGAGCCAACCCTCTGGACAGCGCCACCCCGACCAGCTCCACCTCCTCCGCCGCTACCTCCTCCACTACCGCCACCTCCGCCACCTCCGCTCCCACCGCCACCGCCGCCTCCGCCTCCGCCTCCACTGCCGCCACCGACGCCCCCACCCCCGCCACCACCCCCACCGCCACCCCCACCCCCTCCACCACCTCCACCTCCGCCTCCACCGCCCCCGCTAGCTCCTCCAGCACCCTTGCCCCCCTTGCCCTTGCCAGGGCGGCGTCTCCCGCTAGGGGCAGACGCCGCAGCGACCGACTCAAGACCAACGAGGTCGGCCGCAGCAGCAGAGGCAACAGAGGGCAGGAGGGGAGAGGGGGAGCACCCCTCAAAGACAGGGGTACGAGGGTCACCACGAGAGGCTCCTACAGCGACTATGCTCTTCTCTGCCGCTAGAAGGCGCTCCTCGAGGAGGTCAACGGTGAGGGTGGTGGGGCAAACAGAGAGGAAGTGGTCCCTAACCGGGCGAAGGGTGTCAGGGAGCCGGGTGACTATGTAGTAGAGGGTGATGTGCATGGGGGGGGGGGGGGTTCTTGGCGCAGAACTCAGCAGGAAGCGCAGCGCGGTAGCGAGTGTCACTAGTGCGAAGGTGCGTAATGAGGTCAGCGACAGTGGGAAAAGCGGCGAGGTCAGGGAAGAGGACGGTAGGATGAGGCGGCTAAATGCAGCAGAGTAGCGTGCAACTACAGCGTCGTACAAGGTCTTAGCACTCTTGTACTGGCTAAAGTGCGCACGCTCAGCGGTCGGCAAGTGGCGGCGCACAGCAAGGCGAGCAGCAGCATCGCGCGTGGCCCACTGTGAGCGAACAGTGGCGTCAGCATCAGCAGCAGGTGCAGGAGAGGCACCAGAAGTGAGGTCTGTTGGTGTAAGGGCCTAATAAACTCAAGCTATTAGGACTTAATCAAACTTAAAACCTTTCCTCGGGGTCACCTCCAAGGGTCCCTGGGTGCCTGGTACAAGACCAGCCCCTATCCTCGGGTCCGAGTTTGTAGAGAGAGGGATCAAGAAGGACTTAGTCAAAACAGCAAGAGTACCTTGAACGTCGCGCAGCGTGCCGTGCAGACCGTCGGTCGGATTAAGCTGATAATTCGCTATATCGAAGCTCGCTCCAAGAGCTTTAAAATGAGCCAAGTTGCCTCGCGAAAAGTTCTGCCATTACTAAGTTATGGCTCGGACAGCGTTTGCCTAGCGTTGGAGTGCTAGCATACTAGCGTTGACTCGGGTAGCATTCCGCCGTCGAATAGCGCAGAAACGAAATTCCAGCGAGGAAGGAATTCGCATGAATCAATTGACTATATTCAGGTACAAACAGAGAAGGATTAAATAGTTCTAGCTAGCAAGGACCTTGGGAATCAACCTGGGAACAACCAGGGATGATCCCAAATAATTCCAAGCAACAGAACCAACCTGGCTGGACAAAATAGCAGGTGGTAGGTTGGTAAACAACCTCTGGTTCTGTTTTTCCAACCTGGGAAAACAACAACCAGGTTCAGGTTCTAAAAACAGAACCTGTTTTGTCTTTGCCCAACCAGCCAAATGCTGGTTCCGCTGGTTTCCCCTGGCCTTGTAGCATGCAGATACAGACAAACAACATCCAACCTTCACCTAAATTGTACCCCTATAGTGCCTTCCCTGCTACACTATAGTTAACCAAACAAAACAGTACAATTTCGAGTTGGATAGAACTGAATCTGCGCAATCAATTCAACCGAACTGCAAAGCTTCCATCTTGGGTTCCTTTGCGAGCTCGTCCTTTCTGCTTGCACTGTTCATAGCGCGTACAATGTTGTGCCGAAGCGCACATTTCGCGAGTACCTGCAAATGCATCAAGCGAAAAATGCGAAAGCAAACAAACACACGAACACACCATTCACACGCAAATGCATTCGCACACGCATACTCGTACAAACAGACGGCAGGATGTCGTGCAATGTGCATTTGCACCCAACACACTCCCCCTCAGCCTGCCGGCTGCATCCCCGTCATTCCATGCTAGTTCATGCTCATTCCACTCATGCGCACACAACGCCAATGAGGCTCATCCGCAAGCCTCTTGGTGAGAAAGTCTGCTGGCTGCTGGTGAGTCTTGATGTAGATCGGATGCACCGTCCCCCTCTTCACCTCCTTACGCAGCCAGTGCCACTTGATACGCATGTGCTTGTTCAGCCCATGAAGCACAGCGTTTCTGGCCATCCCAAGAGCCCCCTTGCTATCACAAAACAGCGGCGTAGCAACTTTCTGCTCCTGGCCAATCTCCTCTAACAGCCTCCTCAGCCAAATCACCTCCTTCACCCCATGGAACATCGCCATGTACTCTGATTCTACGGAAGAGAGTGCCGTCTCCGTCTGCTTCTTGGACCTCCAACTAACAGGTCCTCCCCCAACTACGCAGATGTATCCTCCCACAGATGAGGAATCCTCCTTCTCAGAAGCCCATGTAGCATCGGTAAAGCAAGTGAGAAATAGCTTGCCTTCTCCAAGCCTCTCCCCCTTCTCTTTCAGCACCTCCACCCCTTTCTGCTTCACCTGTGCAGATGCGGAGTATTGAACTCCAATGCTTGGGTGAGAGTTCAGGTACTTCACCACACGCTCAGCTGCATCCACCTGCTCCTCTGATGGATTCTGCACCACCCTAGCCAGCTGCCCAACCGAGAAAGAGATGTCGGGCCTCGTGTGAACTGCTGCGTACAAGAGGCTGCCCACCAAGGACTGAAATTGCTGCTGCTCTTCAGCTTCAACCCCTTCATCCTCTGCAGCCTTCACAAGCTTGAATTCTGCTGGCAGGGGAGTTGCAACCTTGCGCTCATTCTCAATCCCATACTTCTCCCCCAGCTCCTTGATGAACTTCTCCTGGTGCAGCTTCAACCACCTGTGATCTGGATCCCTCTCCACGTGCATCCCGAGGTAGTACTTTACCTCCCCAAGGTTCTTGCACTTGAAGTTTTCCATCAGTTGCTGCTGCACTTTCTGGATCTCCTTCATGCTGCTGCTGAAGAGAAGAATGTCGTCCACATAGACCAGAAACAGCACCAGCTTCTCCCCCTCGCCCTTGAGAAAGAGGCTCTCATCACAGCTGCTGGTCCTGAATCCCATCTCCTCTAAAACAGCTGCCAACTTCTGGTACCAGCAGCGTGGCGCCTGCTTCAAGCCGTAGATGGACTTGTTGAGCTTGCACACCCTGCCCGTACCATCCTCATACCCAGGCGGCTGCGTCATGTACACATCCTCCTCTAAAATCCCATTCAGGAATGCCGTTGAAATATCCATCTGAATGATGAATTTCCCACTAACAGCTGCATCTGCCAACAAGACACGGAGGGTAGGGGGTTTGGCAGTGGGAGCAAAGATCTCGTTGAAGTCCTGCTTCTCCTTCTGCATAAACCCCTTCGCCACCAGCCTACTCTTGTAGATGGTGACCTGCCCCTTGTCATCGGTCTTGATCCTCAGCACCCACTTGCAGTGTATCGCTTTCTTCCCATCAGGCAGCACCACCAGATCCCATGTCCTATTCTCCAGCAGACTCTGGTACTCAGCATCCCTAGAAGCCAGCCACTTGTCCCTATCTGGTCCAGCTAATGCCTCCTCCATGCTAGCTGGTTCCTCTGGTGCAGGGGCAAGAAAACAGTACGCAGGCTCATCCTCCTCATCCGGGTCATAGCCATGAGGTAGAATCAGCAATGCCTCTTCGGTCCCTAGCTGCTGCTCTGCTGCATCAGTTCCTGCAGTCAGCTTCTTAGTAGCCATACGGGTACGTCCTGGCCTGGAGACGGGTGTCTCCCATCCCTTCATAACGACACCCTTCGGCTTCTTAGTTTTTCCCTGCTGCTTCTCTCCTCCCTCGGGTCCAGCAGCTCCACTAGTGCTGCTGCCAGTTTCCACACCATTTTCTCCACCAGCAGATGCCTCCTGTACCTTCTCTCCATCACCATTTCCAGCAGCTGCCTCCTCTCCCTCCTCCCACACACTAGGAGTCAGGTCCAGCTGCATGGTGATCTGCTCCATCTGCTGGGACACCCTTGCCTCCGGCTGTTTCTCCCAGCTCCCATACATCATGCCCTCAATGAATTTCACATCCCTGCTGTCAAACAACACACCCTTGGATGGTTCCCACAGCAGCCATCCCTTGCTCTCAGCAGCCAGCCCCAAATGCACACACCAGATTGCACTCGCCCCCAACTTACTTCGGTAGGTCTTGGGGACGTGGGCGACTGCCATGCAACCGAACACCCTCAGCATGTCCACCGGCGGCTTCCTCCCAAGCCACCTCTCCAAAGGCACCCACGAGTCATCCCCAACCTTGGTGAGCACCCTGTTCCTAGCGACAGTGGCGTGCCAGACAGCATGAGGCCACATAGAATTGCTCAGCCCAGATTCTATGAGCAGCGCCCTAGCTGTCTCCAGAATGGTCCGGTTTGCCCGTTCTGCTACACCATTGGACTGTGGGGTATAAGCCGTGGTCAGCTCTCTCTGGATGCCCTGCTTCTTGAGCCAGGCCGTCATTTCAGCTCCAAGGAACTCACCACCCCGGTCTGTCCTAATCCGCTTCACTACACACTCCGCCTGCTTCTCCATGAATGGCAGCCAATCGTCCCGTATCGTGGAGGCGGCGTGGTCCTTCTGCTTCAGCGGATACGCCCACATCAGCCTGCTCCAGTCATCCACAATTGTAAGAAAATACCGCTCCCCCTTGTGCCCTTGCACCGGCAGCGGCCCCACCAAGTCCATGTGGACCAGCTCCAAAGGCTTCTTGCTCCTGCCAGCCACACTATGGAAAGGGAAACGGGTGAACTTTGAAAGCAAACAGATTTCACAGTTGTCATCGGGTGGCTGTCCGTTCAGCTTCAGACCCTTAACGGCTCCATCCTTCTCCAGCTGCTTCAGCAAAGGCATTGCCACATGCCCTAAGCGCCGGTGTGCCGTTGCCCAATCTGTCTCCCCAGATCTGGCCGACACTTTCACACCAACCCCTCCAACGGCATTGCACTCCCCCTGGGATGCAGACCCCTCTCCAGCCTGCCCCCCACCATGCCACGCCAGGGCCGGCAGCTGCCACATAGATCTGTACACGTCCTTGCTCTCGTGCAGATCCCAAAGCACCCGATTGCCCAGCTGCCCCTTATAAGTGCGTGCCCTATCCGTGTTGGTGTTCACCCCAGCCTTGCCAAGCTTACGGAGGGAGATAAGGTTGGCCTTCAGGTCGGGGACGAAGAGAACGTCGTGCAGCACCACCGGCTTGCCATCCGCTCTCGTAAACGCACCGTCCCGCACCTTCAACATGTGTCCAGAGGCGGAGCACACTTCATTGATCGGTGCAGCTCGTACTTCGTCCAGCAGGTCCTTGCGCGGCGTCATCGTCCAAGCAGCGCCTGTGTCCAACACCCAATAGTCTAGGGGGTGCAGCTCTGCTCCAACTTTGGCAGAGGCGTCTCCTTGCTCCCCCTTGTCTCCCACATGGAAGAATTGGCCCGCGGTGCGCTCCTTCTTCTTCTCCGCACCGCCGTTGCCCTTTGGGTTGT